ATTTTTCTGGATTTAATCAGCATTTTATAATGACTTCTACTGAAAATGCAGCCTGTTGGTTTTCCCTTGTTGGCCTGTAAAATGTACAGGGATGTTTATGCAAATAGTTGTTAAGCTAGTTTTTTAAAAACACTTAAGGAAATGCAGCACCAGTATAAATTTTCAGACCATAGTTCTGTAGACCAAAGCTTTTCCTTAGTTCATAAGACAGCTATATTTTTATTGACTAAAGCGTTATCATGCTATTTCATGAGCCTGTTTAAAATTTCCCCCATATAATTGTCCTTTTGGTGAGAAGATAGTGAATTCTCCATGGCCCTTTTTGACTCTTGGCTGCTTTTTCACTTCAAAGATGTCCAGTAACAACCATTGAAAATGTGTTGCTTTTGTGCTAGTTACATATTTGCTAGAAATAGACTGGAGAGCAGATAGGTACCAGTTATCTGTGAGACACTGAGTTCTCCACACAGCTGATCTGTGCTAAACGCTGAAGCGTGGCCTTGAGGTGCAGAGCTTCAGGTTCTGTAGATAATTCTCCATTTCCCTGGTTTCCAAGGGCATGCTGAGAAAGCTGTGTTTATGATCACTTGAAAGCTTTAGATACCAAGTGACAGTGAGCTTCTACCTAATCCACGTTCATCCTTGTATATACAATAATTTATACTTCATCTAATTTTGATAGAAGAAAAAAAAAATCCCCCTCAGGCTGGCTCTTCTTCCTCAATTTCACTTTTCAACTAATGGTGGAAGATGGAGAAGAGATCCTCAACCCACACTTTAACCATTGAATTACTTCTTTGTCAGGGAAATTTTAGCTAGGATGAAGAATTGTTTCCTCACTGAAATTACTATGTTTATCACAGTTCTGCAAAGCTCACTGCTTTTCAGTAGCTCACAGACAAAAGATGCAAACAGCATAAGAACCCTGAATTTTAGTATTTGTTCATCTGTCTTTTGAGCTTCCTTTAATTTGATGCTGACTGCAAAGACAGTTTTGCAGTTCTTCAGTAGTGATGGTGGGTCAACAGGAAAGCAGGCAAACATTTCTGCTGTCCATCCACGGTAAGCGGTACAAAGAGAAAACAACTTTCAAACCCAGCTTCCAGCTTCTTCTGAGTTTGACAAGAGGATTCAGAAGGCCCAAAGCAAGAAGTCCTTTTCTATATTTTAATTCCTGCTGTTGAGATGGCTCTTTATGCTGCAGAGGCCTACTTTGGTGTTTGTATGTCATTCATAGTTCCCCAAGGGGAAGCTCACAGGGTGGCTGCATCCAGATGGGCCTGCCAAGTAATCCTGGCTGCTCAGCAGGGTGCCACCTTCTGTGGAGTGACAAGGGCCTAAAGAGATGAAGAGGGAAAGCAGCGTGAGTCCATCCCAGGAGGTGAAGATGCAAGTCCTTTTCTCTGTATAAATTGTCCTTGAAGGGAAAGTGCAGGTAAAGCTGTACCACGAAGCAGATGTTCGGATCGTGGTGTCAGCTGAAGCACTGCTCTTTTTAAGGTCAATTTTAACTGTTGACACAGCCCAAAGGTGCATGTAGCTGTCAATTGTTTCTTTTGAAAATTCATTCTGCTTTAATAAATTGGAGAAATTCCTTGTTCTAGCAAAGTCCAAGAATATCAGATGGCTCAAATATCAGGCATCAGCAAATTCTAAAGCTGTGGGCATGATCTCTGTCCATGTCCTGCTGAGAAATCTACCTGCCTTCAGGGTTAGGTTGCCCAAGAGTTCGGTGTTTTCTGTAACAGGACCAAAAGTGTAAGTTCCGCTTGCTTATAGCGTGCTATTCTTGGACTTGAAACCTCTCTTCCCCAAAAGTAATGGAGATTTAATGTGGTTGCTGGTGTTCTTAGTTGTGGAGAGCACTCAAGCTGGGAAGTTCTGACCTTCTGAATGTTCAGTTGATGAGGCTTAGCAAAGCCAAACTTGTGTTTTCTTTAAGCATTTGAGCCTTTATCACCCATCCAAGTGGAAGTGCTGTTACTGATTTTGAGTGACAACAGGATTAAGGACATATATGGCATGAGGTCGACATCTTGTCAGACTGCTATGGACCTGTGTTTTGGGTTAGCATGGAACATTTCACCAGATTTTGCTTGAAATTAAACAGATCCTGAAGGTATTGGGATGAGTTGTTGTGGTCAGCTTTTTTTTTTTTTTTTTTTTTAAAGTGTTTGCAGCACTATAGATGATGACCTCCTTGACGATTATCAGCATGAAACCGCACCTGGCAATAGTATTCTCACCAGTTTTCATTAAGCTTTCACGCTCATCCAGCATTTCTAAAGAGAGTGTTAAGGCTTTACAATTGAATATGAGAGCAGGAATACTCAAGAAAGAACAGCCTCTAATAAATGGCAGAAGTCAAATGGAGATTATACCTTGTGTTTATATAGCACCTTTTAACCTAGAGCATTCCATGAGAGTTAGTGAATTTATTGGACTGCTCTGTTCACCGCTGCTTATTCGTCATGAGTCACACCCGCTGGTTATCAGTGCTTAGCCCTGCTGCACAGCAATCAAAGAGAGGGAATGGAGTTGGACTTCCCATGCTGAGGACCCTGCCAGATTTTCTAGCCAAAGAGTAGTGTAACTGTGAAATAGGCTGACAAAGCAGACTGGAAACAAGGTGGACTAATAGGGCTAATGCTATTGCACGCTGCTGACTGCTGAGAGAGGCATAAAGAATTTTATATAGCTTGTGGAGCTGTTGGCATTGCTTCTTTCAATAGAGGTTTTTTCCTCACGTAATCCCATGCTCTGACATGCTGGCTTGATGTATCATCTCAATAATGTGGGAAGACTGGGGAAATTCAGTGAAATGGTTATATTTTAGTACTGTGTCTGTCAAGGGAAGGATGTCAGTCAATCACAGGCTGGAAAAAAGCAAACAGTGTCTTATTGCTATGTGAGACTGAAATTCTTAATCATAGAATCATTTAGGTTGGAAAAAGACCTTTAAGATCATCGAGTCCAACCATAAACCCAACACTGCCAAGTCCACCACTAATGTCCCTGTCTGCAGACCTGTGCCTCTATTTTCAGGCACTTCACTCCCTTGAACAGTCACATATTTAATCTGTGTTGAGCACAAGTGTAAATCTTGCTGCATTTCACAGTGGAGAACAGTTTCCCCATGTTCCAGCAGCAAAGTAGAAATGAGGAGAAAAAATAACAGAGAAACTTCAGTTACTGCCTGAGGAGATCTGCTGTACCAATGAAGATATTAAAATGATACCATTAAATTAAAAGTTTATACACTTACAGGGAATGAATTTAAGAGATTGCTGTGGCTATGAAGATTTAAAACTGATCATTTAAATGTTTTGATTATTGGATCTGCTGATGCACTATTTCATGAGATGACCGTTCTTCTGCAAGTGGATTGAATCAGTTTCCACTTAGTAGAGATCACAGGGGCATCCCATTGAACTCACTGGTCATCTGACATAGGGAATATTTCATTTTGTAGCAATAATGGTGATTTCAAGTCAAGTTCAAAAAATTTTTGAGATAGGCTAAGCAGCTGAGTGAAGGTAGCTGGTATCCTTTCTCACTTAAGTTATTCTTATTATGCTGTGCATCATTGTTATCAGAACCATCATTTTTAGCTAGTCTAAGCTAAGAGATTAAGGATTGAATTTGTAAGTAAGGCTGCTTTCCTTTTTGTGATGGTCTAGTCTTGGCATAGTCAGAGCACATTGACACAGCTGTGTTCAGAGACAGCAATGGTAGCACTGGTTCGCATCTGTTTGATGACTGGTAGCATCTGTTTGATGATTAACTAAAGGATTTCAGCCGTTAGAGCTGTCAATCTGACACCTTTGATGAGCACTAAAATAAATCTGTGCTACCAGGAACTGCTCATTTTTCCCCCCCTGCTTTTGATTTACTTGACTCTTTGTGTCCTTGCCGATAACTACTAGCAAGGCTAATGCATTATAAACTCTGAAAAGTGAAGCAAGCGGCTGTCATTTTTTGCACAACAGATGTTCCTGATCTGGAATCAGACAAAGGATCTCATTGCTCTTCCTCTGAGCAATTTAATTTGTCTGTTCCATGGCACACTAGCCACCTCCTGTCTAGTGACTGACGTGCCCAAGTCCTACTTCATTTTATGATCAGTTCCTTTAATCTTACAGAATTATTAGGTTTTTTTCTGTACCAGAGCAAAGAGAGTGGAAAAAAGGAAATTGCTTCATTGCTTATGGTGTCACCAATAATGCATCATAATGAAAAGTAGCAAAGGCCTACTTCAAAAATAGGAAACCCAAGTACTACATTTTAAGAGATCTAGAAAGTACTCTGGGAGCACTTTTTTGAAGAAATAGCAATTTAGATTTGATGGTGTTTCTTTAGCAGTTGTAAGGCTCAGAGGTAAGCTATGTATAATCCATCAGATTCTTGTAATGCAACTTAGCGAGGTGGAAAAATTGATATATTTTTAAGAAAAGTTGTATCCTGTGGATCCAGTTCTCGACTCCTTAATCATGCAAGTTGTCCAAAATGAGTAATTACTGGGGTTTTTGCTTGCTTTTCCATTTAGTTCAATAAAACTGTATCGCTCTGCTGCTGTTTTGTAGTGATGGATGGGTACTGCCGGAGATGTAAATTCTGTAGCTATTCTATAGTTAATTTCCCAGTTATTAGTCCAGCACAAAAGACAGTTGTTTTGCCCATGCAGAGCTCCTGACTCTGCCCCCAACTGATCTAGTACACCCACGGGGGGCAGTTGTTGCTCACTCTGCAGAGAAGGCGTTCTTGCCAATATCTGCCCAAGACTTGGTAGAAGGGAGAGGCAAGGCAAGTTGGCCTTATCTTGCGCATGTGGCCAGCCCTGCACAGAAACGGCAGCTGCTGCCCATACAAATGGTAGTTTCTGTGGCCACAGTCACAGCTGTCAGTTCTGATAAATGAGCAACCTGTATTTGAGGAGCTCATTGTAGTCTGTCACCAGTAGAAAGAGAAACCACTCATATGACCTCTTTTCTCTTTGGCAGGTTGACAGGACAGAAGTGATTCGAACCTGTATAAATCCTGTCTTCTCCAAGCTGTTCACGGTGGACTTCTATTTTGAAGAGGTGCAGCGGTTGCGGTTTGAAGTCCATGACATTAGCAGCAATCACAATGGGCTGAAGGAAGCAGATTTTCTTGGTGGCATGGAGTGCACTCTTGGACAAGTATGTATCACTACCATTTTTCCCCCTTGTCGCTCATCGTTTGTATGTATATGAAATATATCACTTTATTAAATGACTGATGGGTCAGATTTGTCATTCATGACAAAACTCTTAATTGGTGCTTTGAACAGGATAATTGAAAACTTCTGCTGGTTTGACTTACTGCTGTAGTATAGCTTCAAGCCAGCCAGTGCTATAGGAAAGTTTGCGTCAGTGATTGGCCCTGTGCAGTAAGAGCCCAGGTTCATGACACCAGTGTTGAGAAATACACTGATTTGGGGGAAAATTACTGTTCCTAATGTTATATGAGATTTAAAGCAAGTTCCAAATCCAAGGAATGCTGACAAATATACTTTATTCACATAGAGTAGTGCCTGGTGATGTGACAAATAGAGAGATAGGGTTGGATTTGTTTCCCTGACTCTCAGTCATCCAAAAGTTAGTTGTCTAGACTAAGTTACTCTTCTGATTTCCATCTGTAGCTCAGTGAAGAGAAACAGACAGTTCCAGCAGTTGACTGATTCCACTTGAGACACCCATCATAGATTAGGATAAATTGCCTTCAGGAGATACCTGTCTTTCCCCATCAGTTATCAGGAGAGTCTAGACAGCAGGCGTAGAGTAGATACCTAACTTTTTAGATGACTAAATTTCAGGGTGATGAGTCTTACCCACAGCATCAATATCTAGAGGTCATCACAGCCAGGTCTGCAGCAAATTCCTATACTGCTGACTGGTTGCACACTACAGTGTCCCAGGTATCACAGTTTATTTCTAACTGGCAGACTTTTTGTTATAGAGGGTCTCGTAACACAGATCTTGGCTCCGTCCATAGTGGCAATGCCAAGGATGGTCTTGGTTTCACTGAGCTGAGCGTAAATCTGTTCTCTACTCTGTGCTCTGGGGTAGCTTGTGTGACCAGAGCAAGCAGTGCTTTTGTTTAGATTATCCATTGCAGTGCTTCCATGTAAGTTTGTAGCCCGAACATGGTAGCTTGGCATGGAAGATGCTGCAAAGTTTTTGTTTCCTATTTTCTCACCTGTTGTTTTTGCTCCCTCAGCCCCACTGCACATAAATCCTTGTTTTTCTTCCCAAAGCCATTGGGCTAAACATGCTGAAGGAGGAAAAGTCCTCTGTGTGAGAGAATTAATATGAAATATATGTATTTACTAACTTGAAAACTCAACATGAAGGTATTGGTATTTAGGTTATTTACAGTGCACAATAAAGTCTGTTCTTTCTGACAGCCTTTTTGCAGCCTTCATCAATGAAAATAAGCTATCCTATAACACCACGGAGAGTGAGAAACAAAGAAAGAAGTTATTACAATGTTCTTCTCGCTTAATTGGCTTGAAAATGAAGGGGGGAAAAATGTCATTGCTGTTGCCTGTAGCATAAATGTCTTTATAATGATTTGATCTCTATAAATAGCACACAGCTGGGCTGGTTGCAGTCTAATTTTAATGGTAACCAAGAAAAAGTAATAACAATGTGAAATCTGTTCACAGTAATGTAGACTTTGAGACTTTTTCTAGTTTTTTTAACTCTACATAATTCCTCAGCTGAATTAAAACCCTAAAATGTCATCCAAGCAAAGCCATTATGAGGAGTCCAGTGCTGAAAATTGTGCAGCACAGGCTGTAGGTATGGAGCTTACACTCATGCTTAGTTGTTTAGTGTAATTACTGCATTTTTTAGAATGATGATAACAGAGCCATGGCTTTTCTTGAGATAATTTTAACGTGAATTTGTTGCTCGACATAATTTTAATGCCTGAATAAAACATGATTTTGTGTTAGAGTGTGTGCCTGCCTGCCAATTCACTTTCCCATTGCAAGTAGGTTTTATCTGAGACATCCAGGCAAGCTCCAGATTCTTAGGCATAGTCTGAAAGACTGATTCCCTCTCTGCCCCCCATAAATATGCCAACTTCTATTGCTCTCTTCTAGGTTGATCTAGAAGAGATTCACTGCTACCTGTACCTGTTTGTAGATCATCATTTAGATGTGTAGTAAACCTGCATGTTTGCCCGAATCATGTAATACTCCTAACTTAAACAAAATTAGTAGCAATAATAAATACTGGGAAAGGCAATAGCATGGTTATGCAGTAAGCTGACAGAGAGAAACTAGTTTCTCTTTCTTCTGATCTATCTAAATCTTAACATGCAGCCTACCCAATAGATGCAAGCTTATTGAAATTTGGGGTCTTGGACGCAAATGATGGAGAAATGCATTCCTTCGGAAGGTGTCATTATTAATAGTCTCCTCCCAAATGCTGTAATAAATCTGTGTCCCAAGTGAGTGATAAGGGCAGTGACTTGTAGGTTGTTAGATCCTGAACGTACATGGTCTAGTGACATCCCACAGGATTTTCAGCAAGACTTATTTCTACTGCTTTTGCCAGAACAAGCCCGTTCTGTGCCCCTACTGGTAAATACTGTGGTTAGCAGCATCCTGGCATGCAGTTAGTTATACCTGGATGCCAAGAGTAGATGCATCAATGGGCATTTAATATGCCACAGTATTTAAACACAGCAGAACAAATGTTTGTGGATAGATACCTGCTGAGTGTAATTACGAAAAAGTCAATGTGCTAGAGAGAGAGATGTTTCCTTAAAGTGGTTTGTTTTGCCCATCATGCTCAAGAGTTGCCCTTTCAAATAAAACAATAGGAGATTATCTTTTGAAGGATTTGAGGGGAGGAGGTTTAGTGCAGGGTTTGGGAGGGGGGAATTTTTTTGCTATGTTTTTAAGTACTAAAATTTGTTCCTTCCACTCAGAAAGGCTCTTTTTACATTCCAATTTCCCCAGCTTCTTCAGTGTACTAGTAACATGTTGAATTGCAAAATGTTAACAAATCTGTTCTATGTGATTGGAATGCTAGCCAGATCAAGAAAGCCCTAAAATATTAGAGAAGGTACTAAAGTTGAAAGTTTAAACAAATTTTCCTCAATTAGTAGCATAATCTTTAAAATATGGTCTGCAATTATGTTTGTTTATACAATAGTTTCTTAAGGAACTCTTCATCAAGAGAATGTACCATATTCCAACCAATTAAGCTATCCATGCTGTATTACTTAAATGAAGTGGCATTGTTAAATGGTAGGTTAAGGTGCATAATTAAAACAAATGCATTTTTAAAAGATGTTATTTTTTTCATTTTACAGTTTATTTCTAAGTAACTGCATAAAAGTAATATCTAATAATACTATTTTTTAACAGTTAAGTTGGACAGTCATACAGTATCTACTTAAGCAGATACTATACTGAGTTGTGCTTGGAACCTCTCAAAGATTATTTTGAATCTGAAGCATTTTTGGGAAATTATGGGACACTTTTTTTTTTTTTTGAACAGTGTTGTCCTCTAAAATGCAACAGAGCATGAAACATCCCTTATCCAGACACGTTTGCGAAAGAAGTTGTTGGGGTTTTATCTTTGGCTTTGGCTTGGCTTAGGAATATATCTATAGAGAGAGCAGATGAATTCTCTCTAAGTTAACATTTCTAGTTTTTACCCTGATTTTAGGTATCTGTGCACAGAATTCCTACCTGAAAGACATATCTTATCTGAATTTGAGCACACAATCAGCTGGTTCTGACAAAATCTGTTAATTCTTGAGATCAAGGCTGAGCCTGGATAATTTCATCCCACAAGAAATAACTTTGAGGAAGGTATGATTGAGAAAGCTGTGTGAGGCTGGAAGTGGAGACTAAATGGTGATCCACTAATAGTGGGTGTGTTTCAAATGAGCTTAATGAAAAGCTGAAATTGGAGGGAAAGTTTAGTGCAATTTACTTGGAGTGCCACGCAAGGAGGTAGCATAGACATTTGAGAATATGTGCTCATCCTGTTCAAATCATGAAGTAATTTAGGTCAGAAAGGACCTCTGGAGTCACTAGTTCAATCTGCTGCTCAAAACAGATTACAGCAGGTTGCTCAGGGGCTTCTCCAGTCTTGTTTTGAATGTCTCCAAGGACAGGAATCTCACAGTCTCTCTGGGCTTTGTCCCAGTGCTTTGTCACCCTCACAATAGCAATGGCTTCCTGACCCTAGGGTTTGCCTGCCTCTGGAAGATCGTGAGAAGAGCAGAGCTAGAATGAACCCTCACTCCTATGTCATGTGGAAACATTTACAAATACTTGTAGTAGCCTTCAAGTGGCAAAAGAAAGTCTGAATTGGCAAATCAAAAGTAAACAGAGCAGGTATGACTTAGCCATAGATGGTCTTGCTTTGGAGGGAGTAATAGCAGCCTTCTCGAGCTGCCGATGTAGATGACAGCTCTCATCCTTTGGAGTGGGAGCGTTGGGGTAGAGCCGTGGTTTGGCACTGTGCTTTCCCCTACAACAGAAATGGCTCGGGATGCTCCGTCAGATGCTCTGCATCTGCCCACTAGTCTTCTAGCTCTTTGATTCGCTCTAAGTAGTTGCTGTTCTTTGCAGGGGCACTGGCAAGCAGAGGCACCCATGTATCTTTGGAGTGATAAGCAATGAAATCACAAGCAGTGAAATCAAAAGCAGTAATATTTTAACTGCCATTTTGGGGCGCCACTGTATAAAGGTGGCCTCTTGCTTTCATACAGGTGCTTTAGGTGCTGTGAATCAGTTCACCCTTGGTTGTAGTTTTACAGATGTTGTCTGTAGCTAAGGAGAGGAAATTCTTCCCTTTCTCTTTCCCCTTTGTCTTTCCCTTTCCCCTTCCCCATCCCTAGGAAAAATGTTCAGGCATTTACCCAGACTAATTAATTCCAACTGAATCCCCATCTAATCACTGAAGGTTTTGTATTTCTGTTACCTTTCGGTTGCTCACAAAATCTGTGATTGTTGGTTCTGAGGGGCAGGAGATAGATTTTTTTTATTTTATTTAGCGGTTTGAGGGTTTGATGTACATCAAAAACAATGGCAAAAAAAATCCATCTAATCACTGAAGGTTTTGTATTTCTGTTACCTTTCGGTTGCTCACAAAATCTGTGATTGTTGGTTTTGAGGGGCAGGAGATAG